GGACACCTGTAAGTGCTATTATTGTGAAAAGGAAATGTCTAGGAGCAACAGCTCAGTCACAAAGTGGTAGACAACACAAACTCACAGACCGGAGCTGCCAAGTGCTGAAGCATGTAGCTTTAAAAAATCACTTATCCTCTGTTGTATCACTCACTACAGAGCATCAAACTGCCTCTGGAAGCAACATCAGCACAAGAGCTGCAAGTCATTAACTTCATAAAATGTGTTTCAATAGGCCGAGCAGCTGCACATAAGCCTAAGATCACAATGCGCAATGCCAAGAGTCGGCTGGAGTGGTGTAAAGCACACCGCCTTTGAACTCTGGAGCGGTGGAAACATTCTTGTTTGAATCATGCTTCACTGTCTGGCAGTCTGTTGGATGAATCTGTGTTTGGCGGATGCCAAGAGAACATCACCTACTGGAATTCACAGTGCCAACAGTAAAGTTTGGTGGAGGAGGGATGATGGTCTGGGGCTGTTTTTCAAGCCTTGAGCCACTTAGTTTCAGTGAAGGGTGATGTTAATGCTACAGCACACAAAGACATTTTAGACAATGATGTGCTTCCAGCTTTGTGTCAGCAGTTTGGCGATGGCCCTTCCCTGTTCCAGCATGACTGAGCCCCTGTCCACAAAGAGAGCTCCATAAAGACATGGTTTGAGGAGTTTGGTGTGGAGGAACTCCAGTGGCCTGCACAGAGCCCTGACCTTAACCCCACTGAACAACTTTGAGATGAACTGGAACGTTGATTGTGAGCCAGACCCTCTCGTCCAATAGCAAATGCTCTTTTGACTAAATAGGCAAAAATTCCCACAGACACTCTACAAAATCATGTGGAAAGCCTTCCCAGAAGAGTGAAGGCTGTAATAGCTACAAAGGGGGACCAACTCCACATCAATGCCCATAGTTTTGGAATGAGATGCCTTATATAGATGGTCAGGTGTCCACATACATTTGGCCATATGGTGTATGTAGAAGCATGACAGTTTGAATGCTTCTTTCTTAAGTACTATAGTAGAACCAGTTTTGCTGAGGGTTTGTGACAGTTTTTGATGTAGATGATGTTTTTTCTTGAACCAAACTTCCAGTGAGGAACCTTTATTGTTAAGATTGCCCTTAAAAATGAGACATGTCAGTGGTTTCTTAGTAAAAGCGTAGGTTATCTATAGAACCATGACAAGTCAAAGAACCATTTGAATGCTTTTTTTGCATGGTTAGATGGTTCTTCTCCCAGATTTAGAAGCTGTTGGATAGTTCTTTAAAATAACCTCTTGAAAATTGTTTGATATAGCACCGAAAATGGTTCCACTCTTGTTGCAAGTCACAGAACCTTTTTTTTGTACCACACTAGAACTGTGAAATGTGTGGAATTTAAAGAACCTTCACGTTCCGTAAAAGTGTTTATCCCAAAGGTTTTTTAAAACCACATGTTCAATCCAAGAGCCATTGAGGATCATCTATTTTTAAGGTCATTTAAAATATAAAATTTCCATATGTTTCCATTGAAAACTGGCTCTGAGTTATAAATATTTAAGTAATAGTAAGCCCCCATCCTGGTCATAAGTACTTCTGCATTTGAAACACTCTCAGGAGGCTTTGTTACGGCCTTCGGTTATTAGCAACCTGTCAGCTTTACATACCATTAGCTAGCATTACTCACCATTAGAGTTGTCAGTGTAATGAACAAATGTTCAAAGACACCCTTAAGTTAACCAGACACACATTCAGCTATTAAAGCGCTCTTGGTTACACTGTGTGAGGGCCAGAATGAAGGTGCTGGTGTCAGGACTTTGTGGTGTGTTGGTACAGCAGTCCTGCTGCTTCTGTAGAGCAGGATAATCTGATCCGGCCCACGGTAAGCGTTTCCCATTCTCAAGCTGCAGTGCACAGCACTCCTCGGCAAGAGCAAGAGCAGCTATTGCTTGTGCAAAACCTCCTAAGCATGTATTTAGCCAGCCTGCAACCTGGGAACGAAGCTGAACCAGCACATGAGAGGGAGGGTTAGAAGGGAATTTGACAGATTTTTCAAAAGTCATAAAGATGTAAACAGATTCATTCAGAGAGGTTCGATCTTCAATGTTTCATTGTAGAGAAACATACAGAAAAGTCAGAATTGCTTACAGTGGTCGTGATAGGAACCAGACGGCTGAAGAGTTTAGTGAGAAAGTTATTACATGAAATTTGTTTTCACTTAAAACATATTTTTTCACCTTTGCCACTTTTTTCCATCATCAATATTACATATCAAAACTCATTTATGCTAATTTCTGCTATCACCTCAAAGGGATTTCCAGTGTTATGTTAGCATAAGTTGTGAGATGCTTATAGCTGTGCCACAAATTGGCTTCAGTTAATTGGATTTTAAGACCAGATCTGTCCATTTAATAAGACGATATTTTCATTATTAAATGATAAAACGTTGAATCGATTGCAGTATATAATATTATTTGGCTGAAGGTTCCTCCTTCAGCAATTCATGGTTGCTTGGAAACAACAGCATAGTGTAAACAAACTACATTTCTTGGTGGAAGAATTGATTATTTGTGATTATTATTATAACTATAAATATAACTAAAAGGGCTCTACACCTTTGTCATATTCTGTTGTTTTCCTTTTTTCCTTGAGGTCCACTCGTGTCATATGTGTGATTTTATATGCTAAAAATGGTCATAATTTATCACTATGTACATGTTCTAATGTAAGTCAATGGAACCAGACTTTTTGAGTCATTTCCTTTGGTCCATTTATCATAATATTTACATACAGTGTAAAGGGCAACAGGTATTTGTAAATTATGTCAATGTCAAGACTGAAACGCTCCTTATAACTTCAGCATGAATGGGCGGGGCTAATCTGCTGCAGGCTGTATAGGCAGATGTATGACATCACAAAAACAATGATTTCAAAACAGGCTGATTTTCAGCTTAGTTTCCATATATGGACTGGAGAGGGAGTGGCATGTATTGAAACTCTAGCATTGTTTACATACTATGTTGAAGTCTTTTTAGTTCAGTTTTCCATTTTTTTATGAATGGAATAATCTACAAGAGGCCGTGTGTTACTGTGATCTGACCACGGTCAAAAGATTTTTACTCTGCTTCACGTTTTCCCACTTCCGTGTAACGACCAGCCTCTTGGGGATTACTTCTTTATTTTGACACAAAAGAACTACGACCACATAAATAACTAAACGCATTCTACATTCACATTTTCTTAAGAACTTCAGATCTTAGAACATTTTAAATAATTGCTTCTCTCACTTTACTTTTTCATAAAACTGTCCTTGGCGTTGTAATGCTTTCACGCTTGTAGGAATTAAGGGATCTCATGAATTATTTTGCCGCTCAGACTGTTCTTTCAGGTCATGTTCCGTCTCTAATGAAGGCTTTCTCCTGGGAAATGAGGAGCGCTCCTTTGGGTGTGCTTTACTCAGAAGGCTCGCTGATTAGTGAGACGTGTGCGTTTGTGTGTGTGCTAGTAAGAGACATCTGCTTACACTGATTGCACCCTCTGTTTATTCGGAATGTAGTCTAGTTGAGTATGACTGTATCCCTATTTAAATGTCTACATATTCATTATATGAACAATGCATGCAAATGCGAGAGTTCATTTGACTTGGAGATGCGACATTTGCATGATGACAAGAGATGAACTGAACTGTCACGGTGATAAACTGCAAGAATGCAAAAATACTGAGCGAAAGCAGGCGGCATGAGATCATCTTTATGCTGCAAAATAGGGACTCTGTGTGCGTACAGTACTGAGCACTGTGCAAAAGCCAGAGTCCAGCCTTCATTTAATTAATTTCCAGTCATAAGTACATTTTTCAGGAGATGTTTCCGAGGTGATTAGATATAAGATAATCCACTTGTATCAGGAAAGAGAAAGCTAAAGGAAAATAAGTGAGTTTCCAGAACTGGAGCTCCAAAAAATGAGAAGATAGGACTCCTAACAACCATGCAAGCCATGGTAGACCACCAAAGCTACCCAGATAAACACTCAAAGCTTTTATTTTCGAGAAAGAGGCTCCACTCTTGCTTCAGAATAAACCAGTAAGTGTTTTCGTCCATCCTTCAAGAATGTGTAGCTGTTACTCAGAAAAGGTATCAAGCAAAAAACTGCTGGTGTTCTCAGAACAATGGACTGACCACCCCAAAGTCCAGACCTCAACATCACTAAATTTGTTTGGGATCACTTCAGAAAATGCTAAACCAGCTTCTAAGGCTACTTCCACATTACAAGCCTCATCGCTCAAATCTGTTTTTTTGCTCAAATCCGATCTCTCTGACATGATGGTTCACACTCGTTTAGGTGATTCAAATCTGTCATTAATGTGATGAACTGGCGTCCTGAAATGACCCACATGACCAGATCCTACTCAGCAACGTCACGTGAATGAATCATGTTCATCATCAGCACAAACTAACGAGCAGAACGAGCTTCGCTGAGAAGATAATTAACTCTGATCAGCTCTCAGCTTCATTATTAGAGCGAGACGAAGGTGAAAAAGGTGAGATGAGCTGCTTTTCCACCAATTACAGGCTTTAACTTCTGTTTGGCGCTGCTGCCATGGTAACGCTGAATGATGGTCACACACAGTGGAAAAAAGCACATGAATTCCGATCTAGGCGTCACATTAAGGTCACATGAATTGGATACATATCCGATCTAGGACCACATATGAAAGTGGCTCAGGTCGGATTTGAAAAGATTTGATTTGCATGTCCACACAGCTCTGACAACATCAGATCTGAGTCACATTAGGGCAAAAAATCGGATTTGTGCCACTTCAACCGCATGATGGCATGGCTGCAGATTTGTTTAAGAAACTGGAAGTGAGAAATGGACGCTGTAGTAAAAGTAAAGAGTGGACACACTAAATCAAAGCTTCTGTGCAACTTTGACTGGAAATAAAATAAATGAAGGGTGGTCTCTGACATTTTGCACAGTACTGTATGTGTATCTGCTGGACGTTGCTGCTGATCCCACCATGAAATGCACCTTTTACATTGGTAACAGAATTTATTTCACACTGAACATTTACTATGACACACACAACTCACAATGCTCAGCCTCATGCAGTTCCATAATTGTGATATTCCAACATTCATGGGTTTGGCACGTTTACCTTTTTGGGTTCTTTCTAAAACAAAAACCACCATACATTCAGTATTTGGTTCCCTAGTTCTCTGAAGAATAACATAGTCAACAGCTGTTATAGGACTGACCGTTGCACTCATATGAAGCTGCACAGGTCTCAGCTGGAGATGTCAACAGGCACATCGTCTTCTTCTAGCAACAAATGTGAGGGAACATTGGTTGGGCTTCCAGCGTCTCTAAAGCTGATGGAACCGTAGAGTTTGGCTGAGTGTTTGGAGTACGCAAAAGCCTGCCTCCTCACCATCTCGCCTTTATACAGGGAGATCATGAGCAGAGTCGAGAGCACCACCCCACCCAGGGTGAGAAGACACAGCCCTGCAATCACACACCTGTCCAGGTGAGCGCCCACCCTGGCGTTCTCGCGCTCCAGCCGCTCCATTTCTCGAGCCGAAACGGTGTCCGGGTTGACCTGGACGTCTCGAGGGATGGTGTAGGAGACCACCACCAAGGAGATCCCAGTGACTAAAAACGTGACAGCGCTTATGAACCCATAATCCACTGACTTCTCCGCCGGCTCTGTCATGAAGTCGTCCTCGGGAAGCGCGGAAAGATCTGGAACGGGTTCTTGGAGATCGCTGCAGCTCAAGTTGTCATAGTTGGTCTCCAAACTGTTCGTCCAGCCGACCACGTCGTCCACGCCGGTCTCAAGCTCCTCATCGTGGCATATGTGAACTTCTTCATCAGTCCCCCATTGGGAGAACCTGCGAGGCGGCTGGGGCGCTGTCCGTGGTGCTGAAACCTCCAGCGCCTCCTCCGAGTCTGCTTCAATCAGCAGAGCTCTCTCTGAGTAATAACTTTGCTGATGCTGTAAAGTCCACTCGGCATCCTTCTTCTCCAGCAGGCTACTCGCAGGACCAGAACAGAGGAGCTTTAGCTCGGCCATCCTCATCTCACCTCATCTTTAACTGGAACAAAAAAAGGATGCAGATTAGTAGAACAGCCAGTAAAGCACAGATAATCTGCCTGCAGTTGTAATTAGGCTGATTGTTCCTTCTTACCTGAATGTTTCTCTCTATGGAAACATCCTATTCACCATCCAAGCTGCTTCTTTTTCCATCTGAAGACTTGATTTCTGAGCTGACACAGAACATCATCTCAAAAAGAAAGGGAAAAAGTGGCTCCACCCACCATCAGCAACACTTTTCATGTGTCATTCCTGATTCATAACATCGTAGCCTACCTCGTGCGCCACGCTGCTCCAGCCTTTCTTTCCGTGGCATTTAAAGAAAAGTGACCAAGACACACAATGCTGGGCTGAAGATGTTAATCAGTGAGACGCGAATCGCCCACCCTTCCCTGCACCTCCTCTCTTTCTCTCTCTCTCTCTCTCTCTCTCTCTCTCTCTCTCTCTCTCTCTCTCTGTAGGCTAATCTGGAGGGAGGTTTCTCCGCGTTCCTCCTCCACTCTGATCTGCTCGCAGCACTGCCGATTAGAGTTCTGGGTCCTCCTCCTATCCCACACACCACCCCCAGTCCTCCCCACACACCTCCCACCAAAGAGCGGTGGGTTTTCCAGAGAGAGCAGCGCGGACGAGCGAAAGAGAGCAAGTCCTACAAACATGCTCATTCAGTGTCGACTGTATTTGGCTGACAATACGAAAGAGGAGATGAACATTATCAACATTATAAAGTTGACAGCCAAATAAGACAGTCCTGCTGTCTTTGAAGCGATGTGACTCTTTAAAAAGCTGTTCTTCAAGGGTTCTTTAGTAAATGCAACTGTTAGAACCACGACAACCAGGACAAAGAACACTTGGAATTCATAAGTGGCTCTTTGCATTGATAAATGGTTGATAGAAAACCTGTTACATACACACTTCAAATGATGGTTCTTCAAGGTTCTTTACAAAAGAAAATGGTAGAACCATGAACACTCGAAGAACCCTTTGCCTGATTAAAGCGTTCTTTAGATTGATAAGGAATGTGCTGTGGATTGTTCTATATAGAACCTTTTCGAAAATGGTTCAATGTAGCACCAAAAAGGGTTGTTCTATTGATACAAGCTTGACATTGTAACAACAGAAGAACCTTTTTGGGTGCTATATAGAACCCTTTTCAAAAAGGATCTATAAAGAACCAAATACAACACATTCTCCATCAATCTGAAGAACCGTTTCACAATGCAAAGAACACTTTAATCATGCAAAGGGTTCTTTGAGTGTTCATCATTCTATATAGAACCATTTTCTTTACTAAAGAACCCTTGAAGAACCATAATTTTAAGGTGTATGAGTTGGAAAAAATGAAGAACCTTTTTAAAGTTGATAGAGAAATAAAAAGGAGGTTTTTGGTAAAGGCAACAGTTATATATAGAACCAGTGGTTCTTCACATGATTGAATACCTCTCTACCATAGAAAAATTGTTGTATATTAAGACCAACCAAAAAATAAATAAATAAATAAATAAATAAAGGTTCTATATAAGGGCTCTGCCACTGTTACTCAAATCATAGAACCTTTTCTGGTGCTAGAAACTAGGTTGTATTATTAGTGTACACCTTTAAAATGGGTAAACTATGTAATGAAAATCAGAATTTCCTCAGTTTTTCAAAATAAAAGTTTGATAAAATCCATATATGGACATTAAGCTGAGGAAACAATCCCTTTTGAACTCATTGCTTCTGTCATGTCACAAAAAACACATTTATATACATCTCCATTTTCAGCCTACAGCGGTTTAGCTCCGCCCGCTGGTGTTGATGCTTTTTTAACATGGCACCGTACAGGAAAGCCAATCAGAACAGAGCTCTTTTACATAGAGTTCTGTGCTAAAGTTTTAGCATTTGAAAAAAAGTACATTATTCTTCATAAATGATTTTTTTGGTGCTCTGAAAATGATAATATTAGAAAAAATACTTATCGAATAATACAAAAAGCACTTTTACCTTGGCAATTTTTTTGTCTAACCATTTCCACAGCTCTCCTTGAGGAAGCCCAGTATTAACCCAATCAATACTGCTTTAGTTAATCAATACTTAGTTAAATTAAATCAGGTGCTGTTGAAATCCATGCGATGGCTGGGAGCGTCCAGGAGATAAATGTGGAGCCAAACTTTGGTGTTCAGACTTCCTCACAGGATGTTTTTTTTACAGTACTAATGTTTGTTTTGCATTTATTCTAACGATATATTGTGTTGTTACTTGCAAAAACACAGTTATTGTCCAGATAAACAGTTTTAAAGACCTTTGCATATTACTGCATACCAGTCTTAAAGGCACAGTAACAAAAACCAGCCTGTTTAATTGTAAGGGATAAAGAGAGGATGGAGAATAATGATGTAAACATGGATTATGGCTGTTTTTTTGTATATAAAACCACACAGACTTCATAAACGGACCACAGGGATAAAAATAAAGTTAAACTGAAAAAAGAAAAATGTATGATATGGACATTTTTATAATCTGTACATGTAAGAAATGACACACTAATGTTCAGAACGGTCCATTTATCAGTCTTCACCCAAAGTAGAAAGCAGCTGGGTTTTCAAAGAAGGCTTAAGAAAGAAAATGTGGGAAAATGCCGTATTGTCTCATCACAGTGATGGTGTGCTGTTGTGTCAGTAGGTGTAGTCGATGCTGTTCTGAACAGTGGGCTGTACGTGCTGTTCTCTGCGTGTACACAGAAATATCATGACCTGCTTATTGCACTGACTGAAGGCTGAACTTCTCTCAGTGACTGTATTAAACCAGTAAGATCAACACTGCTGCTGCCCTCAGCAGGTTAATGGGTTAATGTCCAGCCTCCCCGTGAGACTTCACGTGGCCCAGCGCTGCACTGACCCCCCATCCTAGCATAATGCGAGTCGGTGGAGCACGCAGCGAGGCTGCCGTGGGTCATAATTAGCGCGCCTCGCTGCTCCACCCCCCCTCCATCAGCGCGAGGACGATCAGATACCGCGGATACGAACAGCACGTGCTGCATGTGCATGGAGGAGGAGAGGGAGGGAAAGGAGACAGCAAAAGAGCAGTAGGAAAGAGAGAGTGATGCACTCAATCGACTTGATTCAAATCTGTTGATGATTTCCATATGAATAAAATACATCACAGATTTACACAGTCACTGCCAAAAGTTAGGAGACTGAACGAAAAAGTGTCTGACTTAATTATTCGTGTGGAAATGATCATATGTACACATTCAAATCAAATCAATTCAGCGAAACATGTTTATCAATGAAGTAAAGCCAGTAAAAGAAATGAAGGGAGCAAAGGTGGGAGACATAACTGAGCAGTAAAGCAAGGAAAAGAAGAGTAACAGAGTAAAGAGAGTAAAGAGAGTAAAAGGAGCAAAGGGGGTTAAAAAGGGAAAGGAGTAAAGGGAGTAAACGGAGTAAAAGGAGTATGGGGAGTAAAGTGAGTGAATTAGTGAGGAGAGTAAAATGAGTAAAGGGAGTGAAAGAAGAAAAGGGAGTAATAGGAGAAAAGGGAGTAAAGGAGTAAAGGAAGTAAAGGCAGTAGAAGCAGCAAATGGAGGAAAGGAGTAAAAGGAGTATAGGGAGTAAAGTGAGTGAATTAGTAAGGAGAGTAAAATGAGTAAAGGGAGTTAAAGGAGTAAAATGAGCAAAGGGAGTACAGGGAGTAATAGGAGCAAAAGGAGTGAAGGAGTAAAGGGAGTAAACGAGTAAAGGCGGTAGAAGGAGTGAAAGGAGTAAAGGGAGTAAAGGAGTAAAGGCGGTAGAAGGAGCAAATGGAGTAAAAGAGTAAAAGGATTGAAGGGAGTAAAGGAGTAAAGGAATTAAAATGAGCAAAGGGAGTGAAGGAGGAAAGGGAGTAAAAGGAGCAAAGGGAGTAGAAGAGTAAAAGGAGCAAAGGGAGTAAAGGAGTAAAGGGAGCAAAGGAGTTAAAAGAGTAAATGGAGTAAAAGGGGTAAAATGAGCAAAGGGAGTACAGGGAGTAAAAGGAGCAAAGGGAGTAAAGGAGTAAAGGGAGTAAACAAGTAAAGGCAGTAGAAGGAGCAAATAGAGTAAAGGAGTAAAAGGGGTGAAGGGAGTAAAGGAGTAAAGGAATTAAAAGAAGCAAAGGGAGTGAAGGAGGAAAGGGAGTAAAAGAGTAAAGGGAGCAAAGGGAGTGAGGGAGTAAAGGGAGTAAAAGGAGCAAAGGGAGTAAAAGAGTAAAGGGAGTAAAGGAAGCAAATTGAATAAAGGAGTAAAGGGAGTAAACAAGTAAAGGCAGTAGAAGGAGCAAAGGGAGTAAAGGATGTAAGAGGCATAAAATGAGTAAAGGATGTAAAAGATATAAAATGAGTGAAAGTAATAAAGGAAATAAAGGGAGGTGAAGAAGTAAAGAGATGCAAATGGGTAAAAATGTAAAAGGAGCAAAAGGGAGTAAATCTTGGAAAAAATACTAAAGCCAGTAAAGGAAGAAGAAAAGGAGGTAAAAGGTGTAAGAGAAGTAAGGGAGGAAAAGGAAAACCAGAAGTAAAAAGAGGCAAAGTTGTAAAAGGTATAAAAGGAGTGAAAAATAAAATGAGAAAAGGAAGGAAACGGAGTAAAGGACGTACACACACACACACACACACACACACACACACACACACACACACACACATTTTCTAAGCCGCTTATCCTCCTGGGGTGCTGCAGCCTATGCCAGTGCTCACTGGGAGAATGGCAGGAAACAAAGCAAAATGAAAAAGGAAGCACAAAAAGTAGAGGGAGTAAAAGAGTAAAGCAAGTAAAAGGAGTCATGAGTAAAGACAGTAAAGAGAGTAAAAGGTGCAAAGGGAGGAAAAAAGGTTTAAAATGTTTAAAGGATGTAAAAAGGAGTGAAATTAGTAGAGGGGAGAGGAGTGAAGGAAGAAACTGCAAAAAAGGAATAAACAGACTGTTCAGGACCTTTGGGTCTAAAAGAAAAGACATAGTGGATGTGTATCATGTTGTTGGAAGAAAGAAGCATTCTCCCTCTCTCTCTCTCTCTCTCTCTCTCTCTCCCTCTCTCTCCCTCTCTCTCTCCTCTAATAGGATGACTCATTCACTCAGCGGATATGGGACAGAAACCAGGCGAGCTCTCCTCGTGTGGTGACGGTGTGACTGTTCTCTGCAGTGCTTGCTGGTGTAACTGGAGGAACATTGCTGTACTGTGAGTTCAGAAACAACACACAGAGGCAGCGTTTCCTTCAGCTGAGTTTCTGACTGCCACTCACCCGCAGAAGTGTTCGTTAGAGACCGCCGATGTCAACCCGCATCTCATCTGTCAGCACTGACACATTCCAGCTCTCACAGGCATAAAAGTGTGCACTCATACACACACAGAAACAAAAAAGAATCACACATACACTGGCCACTTTATTACAGACACC